GGGGGAAGATCTCTGCAGGGGACAGGACAGAGGGTCACTAGGTGTGAGCGTGTCTGTGTGTGCTGGGGGTGGAGTCTGGGGTCGGGTCAGGACAGGTACCTTTGCAGACGGTGTTGGGGCCATCGGGGGACCCAGGAACCAGTGTCCACCCAGGGCGGCAGTGACACCTGTAGGAGCCCACGGTGTTGATGCAGACAGTGGGGCTGGGACACTGATGCTGCCCGGAGCTGCACTTGTCCTCCTCTGGGGACATGAAGATGGGGTCAGGCCAGGTCACAGCCTGGATCAGGCCCCTCTCCTCTCCACGCCCCACCACTTTCTCCATGTTGTGTCCCCTCAGCCCCTTGGTGGGAGGTGATGCCAGCTGGTGACAGCACACCCCTGAGTGGGGGACCTGAGGTTATGGGAGGTGCAGAGGTGACGCAGAGGCAGGTGAGCCGGGACAGATGTACAGGTTGTGAAACAGTGGGACACCTTCACCCCAGTCAGTGATTAATGCCGCCTGGGGGCCCCGGGAGCCTTCCCCTTGGTACCCCAGCTCCTTCCCCGGGACCCCCAGATCTGTTCACATCTAGTCTCCAAAGGCTTAACACCTGGCACATCAGGGCACCCCCCTGCTCAGTCTGCTTGGCTTGTCTGGGTGCCAATGATGTGTGATCAGATGCTCTGAGTGTGGGTCTCCAGGAGGGCAGCGTCTGAGCTCCGGACCTTCACAGACGGTGTTGTTGGGGCCATCGGGGGAACCAGGAACCGGCATCCAGCCAGGGTGGCAGTGGCACGCGTAGCCACCCATGACGTTGAGGCAGTGGGTGGAATTGTGACACGGACTGTGCCCCGAGGTGCATTCATTCATGTCTGAGGACAAAGCTGGAGGGTCAGCTCTGCCCTCCTCTCACTGCCCCTTCTCTTGAGTTCCTCAGCACTTCACACTGAAGACACCCCCAAGCCCCACTTTCCAGCACCTAGCCTGTCAGGACACAACTGTGTGACGGCATTTTCCACTGTAAAGACTCCCTAAGCTCAGAGCTTATGTGCACCTGTGAGGTGGACGGGGCACAACTGTGCGTGCAAGTGTGATCCCAGACACACTGAGGCCCTCACACACGGTGGAGAGTGGATTGCAGGGGCCTGTGACGGGCCTCTAACCAGGGAGGCTGCAACACTGTGCTTATGAACCTGTTGACACAGGGGGTGGGGCTGTGGCATCACTACCGTCCAGAGCTGCACTTCTGCCTTTGTTAGAGCAGGACCCAGAGGGTCAGCACTGCCCTGCCCAGGTCCCTGTCTCCTCACTGCCTGTGGCAAGGATGCAATGCTCCTGCCAAAGATTGCTCTGGCAGCTTCTCTTAGGATGGGCTCAGCAGGGACAATACTCCCATTTTTCAGGCGAAAACAGGCTAAATGGCAAAGTGAGTCATGAGAGTTGGACTTCTCGATCAAGGCTCTTCTTATCCACTTCCTCCTTAGCCCTGGACTGAGGTTCTCCTTCTCAGAGCCAGAAGTGACACCTCCCTCTGCTCTCATGTGACAGATGAGGAAGGGTCGACGTCTGGGGGTGCTCACAGGGGGAGGGCCACCACAAGGGATCCCCAGGCCCAGAGGCCCTGCCACCTGGTGGGATCTTTCTGGGAGGTGAGCCCTGGGCAGGGTCTCGGCAGGC